GTATCAAAAGCTGCTGAGAGGTCTAACAGGGCCAGAACAGAGGAGCAACCCCTGTCCCGAAGCCCTCCAGAGATCATCTACCAATGAGACCAATGCCGTTTCCATGCTATGCCCAGGCCTGAAACCCGACTGGAACGAATCTAGATAAGACGTTTCCTCCAGGTACTGAGGAAACTGTCGTGCGACCACTCTCTCGACAACCTTTGTCACAAAGCGAAGGTTGGAGACAGGACGATAGTTGGCTAATACTGCCGGGTCCAGGGAAGGCTTCTTGAAGAGAGGCCTCACCACCGCCTCTTTCAAGGCCGTGGGGAAGTAACTCTCACTCAACGAAGCATTAATAATTCCCTGGAGCTAGCCTCATGTAACCTCCCGGGAAGCCAGTACTAACCAGAAGGGACACGGATCCAGTAAACATGTGGCCGCACTAAGTCTCCCCAGAATCCTGTCCACGTCATCAGGGGTCACAGAGTCAAACTCTTCCCAGATAACGTTCTCAAGACTATTGCTCGCCACCCTGCCCGAATCTACCCAATCAGAGTCCAAATCCCCCCGGATCTGAGCGATTTTGTCATACAGATATTTTCCGAAATCCTCGGCCCTGCCTTCCAGGGCGTCCTCCCACGCTCCAGGGTGGAGCAGGGAGCGGGTCACCCTGAACAGGGCGGCCGGATGATTCTCTGATGATGCAATAAGAGCAGAAAAGTAATTAAACTTTGCCGCTTTTGTCGCCACTAAAATATGCGACCTTACCAGTGTTCTTAATATGCGACCTTACCAGTGTTCGGTCAGATTCAGCGAGACTGGCCCTCCAACTGCTCTCTAGGCGTCTTTTCCGGCGTTTCATCTCCCTCAGTTCCTCGGTGAACCAAGGAGCCATGAGGGATCGACACCGGGTCAGAGGCCACAAAGGCATGATTCAATCCAAGGCCCCACCAGCCGCCCGATCCCAGTCAGCCACCAGGTCCTCGGCCGAGTCATGTGCCAGATCTTCAGGAAATGGCCCAAGCTTCATCTGGAACCTATCAGGATCCATCAGGCGCCTGGGGCGGACCCACCTAATTGGCTCCACCGCCCTGCGGCGCGGTGTAGCGGTTCGAAGGTCCAGACGAAGGAGTGAGTGATCTGACCATGACAAGGGTTTCATGTCTATATCCCCTATAATAAGACCACTCAATCACTGGTCAGAGACAAAAATCAAGTCCAGAGTGTGTGTCCCTCTGTGAGTAGGGCCATGAACTAACTGGGTCAGGTCCATGGCCGTCATGGAAGCCATGAACTCCCGAGCCATCTCCGACGTTTCACCAATGGACGGCAAGTTGAAATCACCCATGACCATAAGCCTGGGTGTATCAATTGCCACCATGGCTGTCACGTTGAGTAGCTCGGGCAGGGCCGTTGCCATGAGGCAGGGAGCCAGGTACATAAGCAGCAAGCCCATCTGAACCCCATGACCCCATCTCACAAGAGGGACTCACATCCGGCAATCTGTGACACAATGGTCTCCTTCGGACCAAGATCTTCTTTAATAATAACCGCCACCCCCCCGCCCCTCCCCTGGGCCCTCGGCTGATGGAATGCTCTGAAGCCTGGTGGGCACATCTCAACCAGAGGGACCCCTCCCTCCGGGCCCAACCAGGTCTCTGTAATACCCACCAGGTCTGCTCCCCCCTCTTGAATAAGATCATAAATGAGGGAGCCCTTATTTACCACGGACCTGGCGTTGCACAGCATCAGCCGGAGGCCCAGGTCCTGAGTAACTGTGCCACCTAGTATCCGAGAAGAGCCTTGGGGACTGGGGTGCGCAATTGCTCTCAAGTAGTAAGTGCGCACCCCCGACACATGATATGATCCCCTGCTCCCGCCATATCTGCCCCTTCCATCCGTGCTGATGGTACATCCCTCATTAAGATAGCCTGCCTTCCCCTCCCCAATCCCTCGTCCTGCACCCTCCAAACCATTACCCCATGCTGGGCTCGGCCCCGACTGTGGTGGATTACCCACCCATCCCCCTTGGTCGCCCTCCCAGTTCCCCTTAAAAAATTATTAAAAGCCCTAATTAAAAAACCCCTCAATCCCCGCTTTAAAACATGCCACCTCTCGGGGCTCCAAAGCCCATCCTTAAGTGGGTTTCCTGCATGCTGTGGTATTGGGTCTGGTTTCATCAGCCAGCACAGTGTTCAATTTCTCCAAGGGCAAAACTCCATTCCTTTAAGAGTCCGGAGATTAGGATGTCTAACTCACTGCTCACTCCGGGAATTCGATTCTGGGCTGGTTGACTCAGCCTTCCATCCTTCAGAGGTTGGTAAATGAGGGCAATAGGCTGACTCTGTAAACTACTCAAGAGACGGTTCTAAAGCGCTATGAAGTGGTATATAAGTCTTAAATGCGACTGCCTTCACATTTTGGCTTGCATTAATGTTCTGTATCACCGCATGCATTGGGGTTGCCATTTGCTCGTTGCCCCTTTCAGATGGATATTTCTGTTAGGTATCCTGCTTTGCTTTAGGATATTGCACTTTGTTTTGGATATCCCACTCTGACACCACATTGCCATAGGATCCTTTGGTCTGTATCCAATTGAGTGGGTTCTCAATTCCCAGAGGGTCCACTCCAGCCTCCCTGGCCTTTTAGGCAAACCTAGTTTGCTGTCACAGTTTTCCCAGGCCTAATGCTGCTCCTTATTACCAGGAATAAATTCATCCTTTTTAATGAGTCTCAGCTTTTCCACTTGTTGCTGCCTTAACAGTTCTGGGACAATATTGGCTCATAGATCTGGGCCTGATCCCATTTCAGGCTGGCCTTCCTGCTTTGGCTTACTTGTTTAGCGTGGGCACTTTCTTCTCCCAATATAGGAATCTGTTGAACTGGAGAAACTGACCTTTCTATGTGACCCATATTAGTGGGTTTCCTGCATGCTGTGGTATTGGGTCTGGTTTCATCAGTCAGCACAGTGTTCAATTTCTCCAAGGGTAAAACTCCATTCCTTTAAGAGCCCAGAGGTTAGGATGTGTTAGAATGCAGTACTGAAGGTCTAACTCACTGCTCACTCCGGGAGTTCGATTCTGGGCTGGTTGACTCAGCCTTCCATCCTTCAGAGGTTGGTAAATGAGGGCAATAGGCTGACTCTGTAAACTACTCAAGAGACGGTTCTAAAGCGCTATGAAGTGGTATATAAGTCTTAAATGCGACTGTCTTCACATTTTGGCTTGCATTAATGTTCTGTATCACCGCATGCATTGGGGTTGCCATTTGCTCGTTGCCCCTTTCAGATGGATATCTCTGTTAAGTATCCTGCTTTGCTTTAGGATATTGCACTTTGTTTTGGATATCCCACTCTGACACCACATTGCCATAGGATCCTTTGGTCTGTATCCAATTCAGTGGGCTCTCATACCCCAGAGGGCCCACTCCAGCCTCCCTAGCCTTTAGGAAATCCACACACCAGTAGACCCTTGGATAGTAGTCCTACTCTTCCCGGGTCTACTACTGCTCCTTATTACCAGGAATAAATTACGGTTCTCCTTAACTTCAGGGTTTTTTCGTTTCCTATATGGAATAGGAAAAGCTACAACTCTTCTTACTTCCAGAACACTTCAATGCCAACTGCTCCATCATAACCACCATGACCATCCTTATACCACCACACTCTATTGTTTTTGCTCAATTGTTATTGCTGCCCTTTGCCAAGTCAGATTGGCTGTCTGGGGAAGAAGCAGGGCACCATTAGGCCAAGATGTGAGCTAACCTTAGGTAGCCTGCCCATTCATAGTGGTCAAAAGAATTGAAATTTCTATTGTGTTATTACCTAAAAGAGACTTTTAATGAAATATATTGTAGATATGACTTCAAGAAAATTGTCTAGAATGTATAAAGCCACATTGAAAATGAAGGGTCATTCTATTATGTGTGGTGGACCTGTAAAAAAGCCTGAAATTTGTAGGTTCAAATACATATAACAATACAAAGAATTATAAACTCAAAGGAGCTCTTATGTTGTGCCATGTGCTTGTGAAGTGGTTGTTTGTTTCACCAATGTACAAATCTGCATATGTCTCATTGCATTGTATATATTATATTGTTCAGTTTGTGTCTGGATATTTTATCCTGGGACTGGATAATCTTCTGCCTTCGTGTATTCTTGGCTTTAAAGTGAGTGTGTATATTGTGTTGAACTGAAATCAGAACTTTTCTTGCTAGGATTAATGGACAGTCAAGTAGAAAAGAGCCATGGGGGATTATTTTTATATATGATTACTACTGCAAGACTATTATATGCACAAAAATAGAAATGCTCTGAGATACCCACAGCAAAGGGATGGTTGGTGAAGAACTAGTGGAAATGGCAAATTTAACTTCTTTCATTAAAAATCAATAACTACATTTATCAATAATTGGAGAACCCTCGTAGACATTTTAATGAAAAAAAAAGAAAAAAATGAATTTGTGATTTATGGGTTTGAGGATTAGTATGGGTGGACTATGGAAAGAAGGAAATTATAATGTAACCTTAGAGAGAGAGTAAAATATAAATTCATTTATAAGTGTTAAAAAGATTGAAACTGCTTCTTTATAAAAGTTTTCCTTTTGATTTCTTTTTCGATTTTCTTTGTTTTTATACTGTTTTTATAATTATTCAGTAAAAATTACATATTACACATCTATTCATAGATAGATAGATAGATAGATAGACAGACAGACAGACAGACAGACAGACAGACAGACAGACAAACAGACAGACAGACAGACAGAGAGCACACACTTGCTTAGGTAAGAGATGTTCTACCCCATTGCTATTCTCACATTTAATCTGTGAAGCTAAAATAATGACAGGCCACATGTACTAGGGAGCCCCAGATGAGTGCAGCTTCTGAGCCTGGATCTCTGCCCCAAGTCAACACATTATTGTTTAAAGCAACAAATAGCGGGCTAAATATGTACAGGTAGACAAGAAAAGAGACAAAGCAGCATATCACAGCAGGTAGCAACATTAGCCTTACCTCAGTATGTATATTAGGCACTGACCCAGTAAGCCCATTTTCTGTGATGGCGCAATTGGAGCTGTTTGGGGAACTTGGGCCAGATCCAGGAGCACTGTTGCACATTGAAGACACTGCAATGAAAGTTTGGGGGCGGGGGTGCCACCATGTCAGTCCTCGGCTGAATTAAGTTGCTCTTGTGCCCAAATAGGCTATTGAAAATTTCACTTTTTATTTTGAAGCAGAATCAAGTTTCAATTCACATGGTAGCAAAGAAATATTGGAAAAATGTATGTTGACAAACTAAAATTCAGTTGCACCAAAGAATGTTGACATGTAATAAAGGAATATCATCATGCTACACAACATACAATTTACACAAGCTGCATAAAAAAATCCCTAGCTCCATGTTTCTAATTCACAAGGCTGTCTCAACTGAAAGCAATTATTCCAAACAATATTCCCTCAGTCTTCATTTATAAGATTTATTGAAATGAAAAAATACCATTATAGAATTGCAGTGACTAATGATTCCCAATTTTTCCTGTATATACAAATACATTTGGGTAGAGATTTTCTTAGTCTCTTTCTAACAGTTTTCCAATGAGCTGGTGAGGAAATAGTTCTTTTCACTAATAATCAAGATGCTTGCAGGTGGCTATTTACAAGTTAGCTTCCTGAAACTGACTATTACCTCCATTTATGATTCTGTAAACTGTAAACTATTACCTCCATTTGTGATTTTGTAATCAAAATGTTTAGATTTCCCTGTTTTATCAGAATTGATAAAAAAAGAGAAGGATGCAAGGCATGATTCCACCACACAGAAATGAATGCTCCTAGTTTAGTCTTTGACATTTCAAATTCACCTTTCCACATCAACTATAAATACAGAAATGAAACAAAGAGAACTCTCTAGTTTCCAAGAAGGAGCCTCAGGTTGCTAAGAGATTAAATGCAAACCTTCTATACTCCCTCTTTTTCCAGTTAAAATAAAAATTTCTTCAGAATGTTCTTCTACAACTCCAACAGGTTAAATGCCTACCAAATAAATTACCACTATCTAGATTATCAGTGATACATCTAAAATGAATGCATCATATATATATATATATATATATATATAAGCTTTTTTTATCTGTTCTTAGGCTCACCCATCCCTCCTCTTAGACTGCAATATATTTAAGAGATCTTTGAATAATTATCACTTTACTGAAAGTTATGTCATCATACTATTGGGTGAAGATTAAACTAAAAATATTCAAACATTTCTTCCTCTTTCATGTTTTAAAAAAATAAATGCTATAATTCTTATGACATTCGTATTCTCTGGCCTGAATTCTTGTGTTCCCTTTTGACTAGATTTTTAGTCAAATCCAAATTCATGATGCAATAATGTATAAGTAATAACATTTACTTAGTATTAGTTAGTATTATGTTGGAATTTGATAGCATGTTTGTCAGGGAGTCCAAGGACAGGATGCATGCATAATACAGTATGAGAATCTAACCACGGTTAATATACTTTATAGTTTACTTCAAATTTATTTTTGAACCTCATTAAAATCTCTAATATACCTGCAAAAACTCATAAGATGAAAAATAAAATAAATATAAAAATGGCAGAAAAATAAATTGGAACTAGCCAAATAAACAAAAATTATTTTAATTATCTGAAAAATTAATTCAACTTTGATTCCAGCTCTCTCATCACAACGTAAATTGAGCAGAGTGCTCTTAGCTGTCACTGCTCAATGAATATAGTTTAAAACTGAAAAGTCCATCTTCCAAGCAGAAGAGAGAGAGGAAAGTGAGAGAAAATTGTACAAGGCACTCTATAGTTCCATTCTTTAGGAAAACATGGCTTTACAATCACATTTCAACAAATGATTATTTTATCTATTTTGCCAAAAATAAATAAATAAATAAATAAATAAATAAATAAAAATCAATTGCAATGTTTTGACCTCCAGTATCCTGTTTCATCAAACACATGCTCTGTAGCATACAGAGTATACCAGAGCACACTTTTAGTTTTTAATCAGTCATTTTTCTCCCTTCTTGACATACACACTGAGGGAGAAGACTGAGGAATGAATGTTTCATCCACCTTTTTTCAAAAGCAAATGATGCTTGCACTTAGCTCGGCTAATATCCTCTCTCACCTGTGATCTCAATTGCTCGTTTTTTGAAGGTGCTGATGACTGTCCCATCTTTCCTCCGCAGCAGAGGACTGCTTCTTCTCTCTGCCACCTTCTGTTTTAATCGTGAGCGCACTTTTAAATTGGGTTCTGAGGCTGAGAGGAAGAGGCAGGCAAGAATGAAAACTCAGGTGGTCAGTATTCTACTGAAATAGATTTAGGCAAGGAAGCAAATTGTAGCGAGTAGAAGAAGCTAACTGCATCTTCATTTACCAGATCAATCGTACTACTTCAAGAAAGATTGAGCTTTTTTATAAAATATATTTATTCTCCATTTCTGAAACATAACAATAAAACACTCATTCTAAATACAATGCCTTCTAATTCTACCAAATGCCAGCCACCATAGCTAAATGGCAAAGTCCATGATATCTGGAGTCTTCAGAGAAGACTCCTGCTCCTCCTCCTCCTCCTCTTCCTTCGCAACACAGATATCCTTCATGTGATAGACCAGGATTGATAGGCCTGTGTAAGTGGATGAAGCTTATTGACTTCTTTATCCTCTTCTGCCTGATAAAACCCTCCACCCCAACCATGCCAATTTAAATTATTTTGATCCATGAAATCAGGAAAATACTCTACATGGACAACTTTTTCCATTTAGCTCTTATGTCTTTATAAAAGACTAAGTAGAGCCCTGTTGGGTCAAGCTTATGATCCATTTAGTCCATCCGCTAGCTATCCAGATGCATTCAGGAAGGTCATAAACAAAGACAGGAGAGTTGTTGTCGTCTTCCCCTATTGCTAACAGCTGTCTGGGATTAAGGAAGTAGTAAATAGCTACTAGGACTAGCAGCCATGGATAGCTGATCTTTTATAAATTTGTTCAGTCCCCTTTGAAAACTTAGTGGCCATTATATCTGAACGCTGCAAATTCCATGGTTTTGCTACACACCATTTCTGTATGTCCTTTGAAAGCAGGGGTGAAATGCTCCCAGTTCGGCCCAATCCGGTAGCGATGGAGGCGGGTGGTTCGGAGAACCGGTAGCAAAAATCCCTGCCCTCCCCCCCATGCCCAGCTGAGCCGCACAATCATCAGAGGCTTTTTTTTTTACTTTTAAAAGCATTTTTTCTACAACCTCTTCGGCTGAAAAAATGCTTTTAAAAGTAAAAAAAACAAGCCTCTGATGATCATGTGGCTCAACTGGGATTGTCAAAGGCTTTTAAAAGAAAAAACCCTTTTTTTCTTTTAAATGCTTCTGGTGATCCAAGCTGAGTTGCCTGATTGGCAGAGGCATTTAAAAGAAAAAAAGCCTCTACCATCAGGCAACTCAGCTGGGATCGTCAGAGCCTTTTGAAAGGATTTGTAGAAAAAATGGTTTTAAAAGTAAAAAAAAAAAATTGGCCATGCCCACCCAGTCACATTACCCCCCCCCACCAAGCCACGCCCTCAGAACCGGTAGTAACAAATTTTAGATTTCACCACTGTTTGAAAGTATATATTCAATCACACAATGCCAAATGGACTATTAACTTTTATTCAGACCGTATCATTTTAGAGAGACTATAACATAGAAATTGGCTAATTTCTCCGCACCACCTTTTCAAGATCTTAATTCTTTCAAACTGTATATTTTTTACTTTTAACCAAGATCTTGGCAAGATTTGAATAACCACAAAATATACCTAACAGACTGGGAGTGGGGAGTACAATGGGGAGAACCACTAGATAGTTAATAGCTTCTCCAGTCAAAAAGATGAAGAGGTGATGGGAAAGATTCTTTACTGACTTAAGACCTTAGATACCGTACATGCTGCCAGTCACTAGGTTAGGAAGACAAACAGTCAAACTTGACATAAGGCAGCTTCCTATGTTCCTAAAATTTCCTGATTTCACATAGCAGCTGGGCTGTTTTTTTCCAACTTAGTTTGACTGTAAAAAAGGCTTTTGCAAAAACCAGCTGAGCTGTTACACAATTAGCATCTAAACAGCTGATTTCTTGCAAGGGAGCACTGATTGCATCTAAAAATAGACTGTTTATTAAGTCAGTCTTCACAGTACGTTTATCCAGTTCTCTACTGTAGGTTTAGAATTCATGTCATAATAATATTTTAGCAGAATGGGGATTTGGTCAGAAAATCTGACTGATTTTCAGTCAGAAGATAGTTTTTTGCATTGTAAATACAGTATTTTATAACATACTTGAATGAATATTCTTAATTTGTAGTTCATCAGATTAAATCAATTTTTTTTCTTTTGCTCTCTCAGCACCAGCCATTGTCTTTACAAACTAATACATTTAAGGTGCAGAAAACCATGCAAATTGACCCTCTCCTCTTTTTTTATTCTTCAACTATTGATTTTTACTAACCAGTTTTCCGGAGTGGAAAGTCATCTCTGCTATCATAAGTGCCAAGTAAAGGTAGTTTGCAAGAGGCTGGTGTTCCCGGGCTTCCTGTCTGGGGAGGGGAACTCTGGTCCAATGAGGTATGATGAGCCCCCCTGCATAAATCAGAAAAAAAGGCCAGGTTTATTTATTTATTAAGAAAATTTATATGGCTGCCCAACTCACTCTTGGTGACTCTGGGTAGCTTACAAAGAAAAACCAATAACCCCACAGTCATCAAGATTTAAATCAAGATAGCTATGTTTGTACAGCTATGTTTGCATACAAGTAATCATCAGTCACTTACTAACTGCCTCATTTAGCAATCATTCAAGGTTACAAGTGTAAAAAAAACCCAACAACTTTCTAATCAATCTTCAAATTTATGAGTCGCAGCACCCACAATCTTTTTTTGTGTCACCATTTGTGCATTTTGCAACAGAGATAATGAAGAAAGTGGAAGTAAATTGTAAGCCAGTCAATGATTTTCTACATAGTGACCACAGCGCTTAGCAACTTACTCATAACACTTGTGGTAGCTAAGCGAGGACTACCTCTGCTCCTTCCAAAAAATATCCTCCTGCTTTCTCCATTCATATTGGATTGCATTTTTACCTTATAGTTACTTGGCATTTCTTTAAATTTCATTGAATGAAAAGGGCAATCAGAGCAGAGTATACTCAATAGTGAAAGGCCACTAGTACAGATGGATTCAGTTATCATTCATTTTTTCATTCAACTTGTTTTTTCTGTATAACCTGAAATTCTTCTACCTTTCAATTCGGCTTTGATGAAAGAGTTCTATAATATCAGAATGCTCATTAACTCTATGAGATGAAATTGGTACTATGATTCTTAAATTTGTAAAGAATGAAGTAAAAAAGAAAGATTGGAAGGAAGATCACAGTAATCTTTATGTTTTCCATTTTCCCTTTTGGTTGGAGAATGATCACTGATTTTGTATAATACAGATCTTCAGCCCAAAATTTAACTGGTTATTTGATCAATATTAATACCATTTCATCAAGCAACATAAGAGTACCCATTTGTCACCAAATTCAGTCTGAAATCTATGGCCTTTTCTGTTAAATAGCAATTCAAAGAAAAAATTCTGAAAGCTACTTGATATTAGAACCATGAAAATAAGTACAGGCATAACTGGGTCTGGAAAGGATTTAGTGATATTTCCAGTAAAACTGCTAGTTTAGTTGAGAAATGGATTTGACCAGATGCTATACAAATTAGACAAAGATGTACTATTGTTGTGAACAGAAAAGGAAGTAGAAAGTGTCTCACGCTTCCAATTCCCCCACAATTCATTATCCAAAAATAGAATTTGCTTTTGCATGCACAGACATATACATATATACACAGAAGAAACACACAAGCTGGCATACTGGTGAGGGAACTGTGAAAACGCTATTTTGAGCGAGATGAATGAATGAACTACCTCCCACCGTAATATAATTATGTAAATATAATTATTTGCTGAAGAAGAACCCAAGAAACACAGTTAAATTTAGAGAAAATTGAGTCCTTGAAAATGAAAGACAGATTCCTATTTTTTCCTACTGCTGGATATACAGGAGCAAATATCAGTTGCACACTGGCTGTATAGATCTTCCATGTTTGTGATTGAAGTATTTGTTCCAGAACTGAAACTCAACTCTATGCACAGCCTGTCCTAAATCAGACTTAGTTGAAAATTCTAGAGCAATGTTTCTCAATCTTGGCAGCTTTAAGGTATATGGATTTCAACTCCCAGAATTCTGTAGCCTGCATGTTATGTTAATTAGGAAATTCTGGGAGTTGAAGTCCATACATCTTAAAGTTGCCAAGATTGAGAAACCCTGTCCTAGAGACAAAGGAAAGACTTACCAGCATTTGGGATGCTGGGAGAGGGAATGATTCAAGCCACCCACTGTAGTTGGCTCTTTTGACTTGCTGAGAAGGAACTCTTGAAGTTTCAGCTTCACTTCAGTGCTTGCAATAGCACCTTTAAAAATTATAGAAAAACACTGGTAGAAAACATTAAAGGCAAGTTGAGATGTTATCTCCCTTCCCTAACCTGGGGCTATGCAAATATGTGACCTTCAATTCTCACAAGTATGCCAGTGAAATGTGTTCAGGGACACTACTCTTCTCATCTTGTATTCCAGGCTAACAACCTATTTTTAAAACCCAGCATCAATCAAGCTTACAAAAGGGGGGGAAAAATCCACTTTTCCTAAGCACACTGGCAAGAATTTTTATCACATCATCTTCACATATTCCTGAAGAATTGCATCACAGAGTTACATTTACTGTATTTTTAAAATCATTCTTTATTCATTTATTATGAGGTGGAGGTTACAACATCAGTTGAAGAGCCAAGCCAGACACAGTATAACATCCAAAAATGCCTGAAATTTTATTGTCTTTAAGCATGTTATACAATCCCAAATCAGGGGTACGTCCCTTGAGGTTTGCCATTGAAATCTCTCAATTCAGCCCATCCCCATGTTACTGTTGACACAGATAATTGTAAATTGTCAAGAGCCTAGTCATGCTGGAGAAAAGTGGTAAATCTGTCCATCCAGAGTGAAAAAGAATTTGCATATGTTTTATGACTGTACAGAAATGCATTTATGTACCTGTGTATATGCAAGATTGACTACCGGTACAACCATGGGTGCTCAACTCACCATACATTGCCTCATTTAATCTTCAAAGGGAAAATGATTGCTCATCTTTGTTCAAAAAATAACTCCCAAAGATTGCAGATTTGTGAAAAATCTGAAAATTAATTTGCAAAGAATCTCCATTTAAATATATATATATATATTTAAACTCTACAATCTGAAAGGAAGTGCCATGACAAAGAAGTCTAACCTTGGCTTGAAAGCCAAGTTCATTTATTTATTTACATCTTTATATTGCCAATATACTTGTGAGGACAATTTTAATTATTTGAGTGGGTTTAGGTCCATGCAGATTGTTTTCAAATATGCTTCTCTATATGGTATTTTGGGAATAGGAGAATATAATCCTCTAGCTCCTCTCTAGTTTCTTCTTCCAGTCCTTGAAATATAAACAGGATATCATTCCAATAAATGCAGTGCAATGCAATTAAAACTTATTACTTTCTTTGCTTTTCTCCTTGTTGCGTAAGATGAGTAACTGCTGCTCCAGACGCTGCTTCTCCAGCTCTTCTTGTCGCTGTTGTTCTCGTTTACGCTGTTGCTCTAGTTCTTGTTGACGTTTTGCTGCCAACATTTCCTGCTGCTGCTGCAAAAAGGAACAGGGAGAGGGTCAACACCACCAAAGGCAACTGTGTACGTACTTGAGCTTACATTGTGCATGGATGTCACATACAAAATCCAGGCATGCATTTGCAGGCTACTGTGTGCTATTTTTCAAACACAGATTATAGCATCAAGGCTGGAAAATGTGAATTAATATTGTCTTCGCCCATTAACAATTTCTCTCTAGTAGTAATTGTTGCTTTATAAAACTTCTGAGTAACAGGAAGGATATAACTGAGGTTCTTTCTACAGGATTTTAGCCAGCTAGAAGTCTCCACTAATAAAACTATCATGGAACTCCCATTTCCATGTAGAAAACATTTCTATTACTCAGTAAATCACCTGAGATCTTGCCTCCTGCTTTTCTAGCATTTGAAATACAATGAAAGATTATGCAAAAAATAGTAATAGTAATGCTAGTGCTCTGCAATGTCCTTCAAGAGGCCCATGTTTGCTTTTACATTGCTTTTGCCGAGCATATTTGCATTCTGTAGTAATTTAGATTTCTTTTGATCTTATTGGCTTATGGTTTCTCTTTTGTATTGTTCCCATCTATTATTTTATGACCTGTTAGCTGTTACAACCTTTTTTAAAAACAGAAATTATGCTTCTTTCCTGTAATTTCTGTGATTAGCTCTCTTACTAGGCAAAAATCAAGCTTAGGCTCTGTATCCCGATGCTGTCCACAATGTAAATTTTTCATTTGTGTATTTATGCTTATGTAACATATTTCTACCATGCCCTTCCTTTCTCCATTCTCTAAACTATTCTTTCCTAGTCTGGGTATCTGTTGTCACCATTTAATTGTATTATGGTAACCACACAAAAATAAATTTAGGTTTGATAAATACAGATACCAAAAAGCATTCTAAAAATATTGCTTTAAAGTCAGAAACTTCAATTTGATAATAAAATAACATTATTTCTCAGACTTTAATTTATTTTACAAGTAGCTGCAAAAAGGGTGATGGAATTAGGAATGAACATAAACATCATCCCTGGAGACTACCTGCCATTCTAGGTTCTATTGTCTGTACTGATACCTTCAGAAGAAAATAGCAAAATCAGGAAGAAAGGGTTTTTGTAGGGAAGATATGATGTAGAATGATATTAGGAAATAGAAGCACCTGGCCATATTTGGCCTCTTTATAAATAACTTCTGATCTGGATAGTACTTAGATGGGAGACTACTACCGCCAAATTCCAAGACTTCTGGCTTCTTGTGAGTAGCCCAGAATTGCTTAAGATGGGCAGCCATATAATATTATAAATATATAAACAAATAGGAAGTTGAAAAATAATCCAAAGGTGTCTGTAAGAAAATGAAAAGTGGAAAAATTGAAGTCCGAGATAATAGCTAAGATAAAAAGCTACAAAATACTGATTTAAACACTGGCTGATAGCATTTATATGTACTACGGTTTGTAAAACACAATAAAAATGTTCATATATTAAAAAAAATCCTGATCATTAGATGTAACATTATGTTCAGATATAATACTGAATTGTTACTACTAAACGAATCTATTCTCTCATCTTCCGACAAGCCTGTAATTAGTTGTAACTCATTTATTCGATTCATACACACATCAACTGATAATGTAGCTTATTAGGTTATGGATCAGTATGATGTAACTCATTGTTTGTTTCTTAGTCTAATATAAGAACCCACCAGTTTATCTGAACAAGCGAGAATCATAAAGTATAGTGGAAATGTTTTATACCAGTTTGAATATTAAAACAAGCTTATTGAAAACTAGGAATAATTTCCTCACAATGGAAGAAGAAAGCTGAAAACACATACAAGTTTTTCAGCCTTACCTAGGCTCGTTGTATTAATCTGAGGTTCAGAATTACATCTGAATGAGGTCAGTGTATGTAATAGCTTGATTAGGCTGTAAATTCTTAAAATAAAGGACATGGTAATCTGTTTCTCAAAGTGCTTTTAAAAGTATGAAGTGGGTATGAGTGATTCATACTGACAGAATCTTCCTGTTCTTGAAAATATGGATTACTAAAATACAATACATGAACCCCATCAAATAACATCACCAAGTAGTTTTAATTATTGCTATTGAAGCAAAGTCTGGAAATGCATGCATGACTGATCAAAATAGAAACATAATGTCACACTTGGAGATGAAAAAATATGCCAGGATTCAAACCACTATAAATTCTTATCTCTGGATTCTGGAAAATAATAGCATCTAACGTTCTTTGATCATGTCTAGAAAAAAAATCACTGTTCAAATAACCAGTCTCCTTTTCTCCCCATTTGGATTCGGTGTAAGGACTTCCAAATGAAAAGGTACAGAATTCATGCAATTTTTGAGTGTTGCCTCTTATAAATTCAACAGTGCCTAAAAGAAAGGAATTCCTACTCTAATCCAGAGTAGCTAATTAAATGTAACTGAAGTGAATACTGATTTATTTCTACCAGTGTTTTCATTTCCATTGAATTTTAAATTCTAGCTTGCTTGTTTGAACTCGGGGGTCTCTCCTTCATAAACAATAAAACAAGGCAGAAACCACCCACCAAACTCGCCAATCCAAAATTTGAAAAAGCTAATTGATACATACCTCAACCCATTCCCAACATAAATACTTCTTCCCCAATTTGAGCTCTAAAATATAGATGGCCCTATCAGAAAATATCCTGATCCTTGGAACAGTCTGGATAACAGATGGAACTTATAGCAAGGATTTACCAATGGAATGGAGCAAAAAAGAAAACAGGAAAAGAAGAACTGTAATGGGGGACATAGGTTCAGGTCCCTGAATGCTAAGATTGTTAATTAGGCTCAGAAACATACAGACTATCATGGAATGCAGACTAATGATAAACAGAATATTTTCCTGCCTTGTCTATATCAGGTGGCAACCTGTAGAATTCAATACTTTGCCAGTGTATAGGAAGAGCCATTAATTTAATAGGATGGATAGGATTATCTTAGTTGGGCTGCCAAATTCTATTATTATTATTATTATTATTATTATTATTATTATTATTATTATTATTATTATTAATTTAATTTGTATACTGCCCTTCTCCCAAAAGGGACTCAGGGCGGTGAACAGCCAAAAATTAAAAAACATACAAAATGCAAAAGTTAAGACAATTAAAAAGAATTAAATCACTGGCTACCCAATTTAAAACCCCAAATCCATAAAATTTAAAATCCCAATTAAAAACCATTTAGGCTAGGCCGGCTTGATGAAATAAAAACGTCTTCAGGGCTTTACGGAAGGTCCGGAGGTCCGGGATCAATCGTATTCCAGGAGGCAACTCATTCCACAGGGCGGGTGCCCCCACAGAGAAGGCTCGCCCCCTGGGGGCCGCCAGCCGACATTGCCTGACCGACGGCACCCCGAGGAGGCCCTCTCTGTGAGAGCATATTGGCCGGTGGGAGGTTATCGGTAGCAGCAGGCGGTCTCATAAATACCCTGGCCCTAAGCCATGGAGCGCTTTGAAGATGAGAACCAACACCTTAAAGCGCACCCGGAAGACCACCGGGAGCCAATGCAGCTCGCGCAGGAGAGGTGTTATGTGGAAGCGCCACGTCGCTCCCATAATCACCCGCGCGGCCGCATTCTGCACCAGCTGGAGCCTCCGGGTGCTCCTCAGGGGGAGCCCCATGTAGAGAGCGTTGCAGTAGTCTAGGTGTGACGTAACCAAGGCATGAGTAACTGTGCACAAGGAGTCCCGATCCAGAAAGGGGCGCAACTGGCGTATCAGGCGAACCTGATAAAAAGCCCCCCTGGCCACGGCCGTCATATGCTCTTCTAAAGACAGTCGTGTGTCCAGGAGGACGCCCAAGTTGCGAGCCCCCTCTGTGGGGGTCAGTGACTCGCCCCCAATAGCCAGCGATGGCACCAGCTGGCTATACCGGGACGCCGGCATCCACAGCCACTCGGTCTTGGAAGGGTTGAGCCGAAGCCTGTTCCTCCCCATCCAGACCCGCACGGCCTCCAGACACTGGGACATGACTTCGAGGGCATCATTGGGGTGGTCTGGGGTGGAAATGTACAGCTGAGTGTCATCAGCGTACAGATGGCATCGCACCCCAAAACCACGGATGATCTCACCCAGCGGCTTCACATAAATGTTGAACAGGAGCGGCGAGAGGACCGACCCTTGCGGCACCCTGCAAGCAAGGCGCCTCGAGGTCGACCTCTGCCCCCCTGCCAACACAGACTGCGACCGGTCAGAGAGATAGGAGGAGAATCACTGCAGCACGGTGCCTCCCACCCCCAATCCCTCCAGCCGGTGCAGCATGATACCATGGTCGATGGTATCAAAAGCCGCTGAGAGGTCTAACAGGACCAGAACAGAGGAACAACCCGTCCCGAGCCCTCCAGAGATCATCCACCAATGCGACCAATGCCATCTCCGTGCTGTACCCAGGCCTGAAGCCGGACTGGCATGGATCTAGATAGACAGTTTCATCCAGGAACTGTGGGAGCTGTCGCGCAACCACACTCTCCACAACCTTCGCAACAAAGCGAAGGTTGGAGACCAGACGGTAGTTTGCCAAAACAGCCGGGTCCAGAGAAGGCTTCTTGAGGAGGGGCCTCACCACCGCCTCTTTCAAGGCGGGAGGCAAGAAACCCTCTCTCAGAGAAGCATTTATAATCCCCTGGAGCCAGCCTCGTGTTACCTCCCGGGTGGCCAGTACCAGCCAGGAGGGGCACGGGTCCAATAAACATGTGGTTGCGTTTAACCTCCCCAGGATCCTGTCCACGTCCTCAGGAGTCACAGGGTCGAACTCATCCCAGATAACATTCTCAAGACCAGCCTCGGTCACCCCGCCAGGATCTACCCAGTCAGAGTCTTCCCGAATCTGAGCGATTTTATCGTGCAGATACTGTGCAAAATCCTCAGCCTGCCCTTGCAAGGGGTCTTCCCGCGCTCCCTGATGTAGGAGGGAGCGAGTCACCCTAAACAAGGCGGCTGGGCGGTTATCTGCCGATGCAATAAGAGCA